CTGGCAGACAGGACCTGCCCAGCAACACATTCAACCCAGAGTTCAGCCTCCTCAGACTTGTCCAGCTGTACAGCGTCCTCCAAAATATCACCTGCGAAGCCATCATCTGTCCCTCTCCAACTGGCAGCTCCGGCATCCTGCTCTGTTCCTGGATTTTCTTCAGATCCCACAGACAGCTTTGGTTTTCTCACCTCCCTGTTTGTCAGCTCCTCCCATCACAATCCTCTCACTAGCTGTGCTATGCCAAAAATCACTAGCCTACTCCCTGTCCCAGGGGCAAGAAGCTCTACTCTCGTTTGCCCAGAGATGACTGCAACCTGTCCCAGGCACCCTGCCAACAGGCTGGTTCCCAAAGCGAGCATATCCGAGCGTGCCAAATGCAAACCTACTCATCCAGCTACTCTTTCCACTACACTTCTTTATCCACCTTTCCTTCAGTTGGGCAGCTGCTCCTCCTCCTCCCTTGCATCTTTCAAAGCCCCTTCCTTCTCCCTAACTTATCCCTTCTACACTGCTCCATTTTACTTTATCTGCCTACTCTCGCAAACATTTGTCATCTTCCAAGAGCCAGTCTACTTACTGCAGGGTCATGGATTCCTTTTACCCCTACTGCAGGGTCATGGATTTCTTCCCCCTCCCCACCACCCATGCTGTACTGCAACCTGTAGCCCCCAAAATGTAAACAAACTCCCAATCTTTCTGGAAGCAGACTTCAACTGCAAACAGATGCACAGGTTGGAGCACATCTCAGCATGGGTAACTGCTGGAAGATGCACTGGCAAATACTTCAGCAAGCAACAGGAACCAAAGTGTACAGCTGGGGCCCTAGAGAGCTCATGCTCTAGCTGCTATCATGCACCAAAGTCTGCATCCTCACGCCTTACTGAAGCTCGGTTCAGCTAGCAGGTAGGAAGGGCTCCAAGTACGACAATCACATCTTCGTTTGGCTATACAGAGGTATCACTAGCTCCCTTGCTCAATTTCTGCCCTTTGACCCCTTAGCTCCTACCCCAGTCCTTTCCTGACCTGTTTGCAGATAGCATGCACATCCATAGCATTTCTAATTTCACTCGGGAGAAGATCCCTTCAGTTCAGACAGCTCCTACCTGACTGTTCAGCCGCTTTGTGACGCTTGTTGGGATGCGTGACGGTGATCTCCTCATAGTCGGGGTCCTTCTCTGCAATCACTCTTTTGATCCCAGACATGTTCTCTCCACTACTCCACTGAGAGGAAAAATAAAAGCATTAATATCACCCACACCACAGCAACCTTCTGGGCAGGCTTCAATTTCCCGCAGCCATGGGAGTCACCATGGGGACTTCCCAAAAGAGCCGGGACGCCTCCTTCCCCAGTTGCTACAGATTAACCCACAGCTGCAAAGCTCAGAGCTGGTCCCATTCTGTATGGTCCAGGAGCTCGAACAGCTTCCTGATCTCTGAAGCTCACCACAGCTCGTGTGCATACAGCCACGGCGGTGCTGCAATGGCAAACCACTGTCTGCTGAAGCAAAGAGCCCCCTGTGCCGCACCGCCAGCGAGGTCTGCGCCAGGATCTGAGAGGACACCCAGCTGTGGTCTGACGGGTGACTTCAGGAGAGCCGGGTTTCCCTCAGCACAGGCAGCACCACCTCTGGCGGGCGGCACGCGCTTGGAAGGGGGAACACTCGGCATGGCCGAGCCGGGGGCTCCAACGATCCGCACCCCAAATACGTGGGGAGACACTGAGGCACCGCGACCTCGCCTGCGGAGCTGGATGCGCACAGGTGCCTCAGCACTAACCCGCGCCCTCGCTGGGCTGCTTGGCTTCCCCACTGCGGGATAACACCACCGCGCCTGGCGCGGGCCTGCCCCCTCCGACAGCTGCTT